CCTTCAAAATTTTTTCCTCTTTTTTTTCATTATTTTTTCATGCCAAATCCAGTGATTTTCGTGACCTCAAAACTTATCCCAAATTTTTATGTATTTTAGGCTAGAAAGATAAAATTTAAACAAAAGATGACGTTCTATAGGTAGTCCACCCGGGCCTTAAGGAAGAACAATTTTCGCGGTAACTCATGGAGAATTGTTCAGAAAAAAAGAAAAAATAATTTGCAAATATTCGTAATATTATATTTTTATAGAGTAACATAGGCTTAAAAAAATTGACCTGGGGAGTTTAGTGAAATAGTTGAAAACAAATAGCAAAATGAAAATAGAAATTTTACAGACTTGTTAATCTTACATTTTCTGGCCAATTGTCAAATTCTCGTGGAACAGAAGATTGACATCCACATCGAAATTACAAGATTCAATACACCACGTCATTCCGCCAACTACCTATAATATATAAAATTTATTTCGATAGTCAATTTGATGAAAATATTGATATTGATGAAAATAACCTTGTCGAAATTGGACAATCCTTTAATCCTCGCCCTGAAGTAGCCAGCCGCCACCAAAAGATCCACAATCTCATTGAACTTAACAGCCTGCTCTTCATCTTCTCGAACATCCGCCTGAAATGGAATTGAATCATTAGAAAAAGTAACAGCGACCAACATTCAATTGAGTTAATACAGTATATTTCTTAATTCACGTATTTAAAATTCGTGCCACTACCTCCACGACATCAGAAGGTGGAATTGAACACATGGACTTTTCATTAAGCATTCTGATCCTTCGAAAATGTTTGTAATCAATTTCTTAATAATAAAAAATAAATTTGTGGGTGGTACACTGGAGCGTAATCATCACGATATTTGTCGACAAGTTCCGCCAAGTCAATCACGTACGTAGCGTACGTATGAATAGAAACTTGTTCTCTACTTTATCGATTGGTCAACGACTCAATCGGTAAGAGATAATAATTTAAGATCTTTAGCTTACCGATATTATTTCGCCAAAATTAAATGCACTGAAAATAGCATTTCATGCAGAGAAATTCACTTATAATATATTTTCCCAATTTCTCAAGTTGCCAGGTGTAATTTTTCTTTTGAAACATTTTTTTTTAATGAAACTCATACGATTTTTAAAAAATAAATGCATGAATAGAGAACTATAACTGTTTGTTGAATCGACGAAAATGTGCCGATGGACAAATTGTGCATTTTGAAAAAAATATATATTATATAGTAATATTAATAAAGTTGACATTTTTTGTGACCAGATTTTAAAAAAAATAGGAATTGTAAATAATTGATAATAAACAACAAAATTTTCTGCAAATAGATTGATCGTGTATTGAATACAATAACATTTTCATTTCATGTTACAATGAAAAATAACATAACAGTACGCATTGAATCGAAAAAAAACAGGTACCAAAAACTCGTCTCACATGAATTTTTTCTACAGACATGATAAAAATTCCAAAAAGAAACTACCTCCCAAAAATTTAATGATGATTTCTCTCGCATGACATGGACGCATGAAGATGGCTAATATACCAGTTCTACCTTTAAACGTTGAATTATTTTTGTTCGTATTTCCAAACCTCGATGAAAACTATCTCAAAAATGTTTAACAATTTGTATCATACCATAAATATGACCAACAATTTTTTCCTACACAACTGTTATTAATTTATTCATTATCCTCTAAAGAAGCCATCATGTAATTTAATTCCAAAAACGAAATGTTCCACACTTGATTCTATATAAACGTCATATCCAAAAATATGTGCTTGCGTCGAAATAGTATATTATGCAACACGTGCGGAATATATTTTTTGACTCGTGGGAGGTTTGTAACACGAGCCGAAGGCGAGTTTTACAATCCCACGAGTCGAAAAATATATTACGCACGCGTTTCATACAAAATTTTATGTCATTGCGCCCGGAATCCGCGATTTAACCGAGCGAAGCGAGGTTAGAATCGCGTGATTACGGGCAACGATGGCATAAACTAATTGTCCAAATTCACACAGTCGATGACAGTAGAAAATCACTCAAAAAATCAGTCTGTCGGTACCGCTCAAATACTACTCTCATAATACATCATAAAAAAATTCGAAAAAAATCATCAACTTAATACTCTCTATCACTATAATTTTATTTCATTGAAATTTTGTATCTCTCATTAGTCTATCCTCCGCAGAAGCGAAGAAAATACTGGCGGGTCTAGACGGCGAAACTAATTTACGGAAGAATACATTAAAAAATGAAAACATCTCATCTGATAGAATTCTAACCTAGAGGCACAGTCCCGAGATTCTGGCTAGACCGGCTATTCACAGATGTAAAGGAAAATCAAGTTAATTGATCATTGAATTGCGTTACCTTCTCGGCCGTAAAGATAGCGTCCACTGAGACAGCCAGCATTATCATAAAATCCTGGCATCCCAGCCGCCATTAACGAGATAGAAGGCACAAAATGGAGCCGATTTGACATTTTTCCCTAAATCGAAGAGATCAACTCTCATTCATTAAAAAAAAAAACAAATGTTTTAGCATAGGAAGCTCAGTCGAAATCAGCAGCAGCCTACAGTTGCACTATTACTCGAGAGGTCCGGCTCTCGTGTCCTGTGACAAAAACAAAACTTAAGTAGAATAACCTTCCTTTTGTCATCTAAAATCCTAAAAATCCTACAGCGACACAACTCGCTCTATGCTCGATCATTACATAGACGTATAAATAATAAACATCGAGAGCCGTAGTTATGACCTTCGTTAACCATAAATGGCGCATGTGCAAGCCCCGAATTATCTTATTCGAGGCATCAATGAAAGTTATCGTTTGTATATTGATTATTGTTGTATGTTGTTGCTGCGTGCCGCGCATTTAACGCGAAATATGCAATCTATTTATTGAGACGCAGACATCACGTCGAGCGCATCAATTCTTGTCATCGTTAACGATTTCGAGAATACTTGTATAAGTACCGGTGACAAAGCCGAGAACACCAAATAGAATGATGAGAATGTTCTTCCAGAGTCTCCAGTTGTAACGGCCAAGACCGTTCTCTTGTTCCCAAACGGTGACAAGTTCGATGATAGAGGGGAACATGAGACCAAGTGTTGAGAGACAAACAGCACCCACGAGAGAAATAAAGGGACCCAAGTTGGGAACAGCGATGGCGATCCCCACTGTAAGGATAACGATTACGATTCTGACAATGTATTCCACGTAGAGTTTTCGCGCGCCAAAATGACATTTGAGATTTTTCCAGATGATCTCCATAGGGACGTAGAACTGGAGACCGTAGGTGAAGAAAATGGCAACGGCGATCATGAGTTTGACGGATTGGCCCAGGATCTCGTTATTGGGGAGGTCCAGAGTGATGGAGGCTTGAGTTAGCTCTCCGTACCGAAGATAACCGAAGAAGCCGACTGTGCTGTACAGAGTGACAACGCAGAACATTCCGATGTTGAGGACACCGGGGCAACCGATAAAGTGAGTTGGAGTCTTCATGTTGTTCTCCAGAGGCATAACCTAGTTTGTCAAACACCAAACAAATGACAAATTCTTTAATTTAATATATTAGCAATTCAAGCCGAATCATTCTATTTTATTGATTTATACAATGAAGTCATTGTATACAATAAAGTCATTATAATACTTACAACGCCGATTCCCTCCAAAGCAAAGATGGCAGTGCCGAAGAACAATGGCAGTTGGGAGAAACTTGCGATGTTATGTATTTCTTTATACTTGAACTGCTCAGTATCCCTGAAGATGTAGTAGAAAGTGATCCCCATACCGGTCGCTATGAGGGCATTAGCTAGCATGGAAAATGGTGCTAGATACTTTAAATTTCTCACCAAGCACAATAGGAGTAATGGTGGTAGAAGCATTGCCATGTATACTCGTACATCCAATTGATTTTCTGTATGATAATTGATGACTTCACTGAGATTCTTGGCTACGAATACTACATAGACGCAACAGCAGCCGAGAAGATCGATCACTAGAAATGAATTTATCGTTGCTCTGGAACCAATACAAAATCATTTCGTTAATCCAACTCAGCAGTGAAATATATGCATTTGAATTATCAATATAACGGAAATTTTTCATTTTCTATTACAAAGAAAATTATCACTTATATATTCGCATAATGTCTGTAGATAATTTTTCTAAAAAATCCAATGAATTCATCATTTCATCAAGGATTACCAATTTTAACTGTTGAAGGGATCGATTCGCACACTGTATGAGTTACTTCCTATGAGATAAGTGCAAATAAAAAATAAAAATTTACATGATCTTTGATAAAATAATTGACAGGGCGTAGAAAACGCTATTACCAGCATTTTACTATGAAAAATAATTTTTTATGACTTTTTATGAGTGTTGGAGGAAAGTTGAATAACTCACTTTGCAAGCCTAGCGTACTTCTGAACCGGTTCAGGCCCAACGAGAAAAGCCGCTTCAGCAACATCAGCGAATCCCAAACTCGGTGTTTGCGTACGTCTGCACAATGCATGTGCACACTTGACAAGTATATGTACGCAATATGTGCACACGGCACCGATGAAAAAAGTGGCAAATAGACCGAAGAATAATCCAGCATTCTTGAATGCCAGTGGCATGGCAAGAATTCCGGAGCCAAGACTACCCTTGAGCAGATGAATTAGGGTGTCGAGGTCGGAGGTTGGATGCGCTAACTTCCTGTGCTCAAATGGATCGTAAAGGGCTGCTTCTTCATCATTCGGACGCTCCACCAGGGGCAGGGTTGAGCCGTTCTGAACCGTTATTGGTACTTCATTTTTCTCACACTTGTATCTGTAATAGGAGGAGCATTAGTATGGTGCGTTGGAGGGCTCAATAAACATCAGAGCACAGCATACGTTAAAGGAAAAGACGTGATTTGTTTTTCGATACGTACGTGCTTATGCTTGATCATTTTTGAGCTTTTGGTTCATTACACTAAGTAACTTTGTTAAGTCTAATGAGTGTGTACTTAGGTTTACAATCATGAGTCTCAGGTTGCTCTCGCGTTGCACAAATTTTCGTGTTTCGGTAACTTCTGTTAAAGCTAATATTTTTTGTTTCATCAGGGATTGGGATAGGTCCTCTATTTGATGTTTCTATGTCAATTGTGTTCTGTGAGTATGTAGAAGCTGATGAGTAAGCCGCAGGTTGAAGGAGGGGGTAGAATCATTCAACAACTTGATGCTTTCCATCTTTAGGAAATTGTCAACTTTTTTGGCATTCAGAAAAATAAAGATTTTCTATCAACTTGTTGGATGATTACACCCGATCTTACATGTACATAGCATGTTATTAGTTCTGCGTAAAGACCATGATCATCGCTGAATGTGGAAAATTTTATATCATGCAAGAACAATGTTCTCGGGGTGAGTAAAGTTAAAGTAACTGTTAAACTTGAATAAAGAGAAGCCGTTTTTTTAAAATGATTTTTAAACGGATAACGGTTCGTTCGCTCCCTTCAATTCTCCATTCTCTCAAACGTTACCCCCTCTTTCTTTTGTCACCTAAGAGAAATAGTGAACAAAAAATATGAGTTACAGAAAACCATCACCATTCTCTAACTGAATTTGTTACGCTTCTGAAAAATTCCGACCGATTAATTTGAAACCCTGTCATGCCAATAGTGTACTCATGTATATCTTCTTGCAGCGTGTTTCAGGTAACAATTGATAATCTTTTATTTCTACTCCAATAAGTTATATAATTAAAAAAAAAGTCGTAAAAATTAACAAAATAATTTATTTATAATATATTAATGATATAAATGTAAATGGTAGATAGGTAGTGTAGGTACCCATTGAATTCTCCATAATGATGTTTGCCGGGTGGCCTCAATAATATATTTTTTTTTGTTTCTAACTTTATGAATTATTCGCCGCCCGAAGAGCTCAAAAAGCCTCGGCCTCGTGTCACGTGACACATCAGTTTCCCAAACACAGCAACACTCGTATGCGTTTGTGTGCGTGTTATTGACTTTTCTATACGTTTTTCATTCATTAAGATTATTCTTTGGATTTTTCTATAACACACACATGTTTTTTTATCTGCATTTGTGTTTTTGCGGGTGTCTCTCAGCTCTGGCCAACCACCGCACTGCATCAACCGACGCCGCCAGCGCCACCGACGCAGTACGACGACTAACAAGCCGTGTTTACTTATATTTCCACTTAACAACAAAAAAGGGTAACACACGTTAACCATTATAATTCACTTAAATAACAAGTGTCAGTTTTGCTTTTTTTTCATTTTTTTTGTAATCGAAAAATCGTCATGTGACCGTCTGTTTCTGTCGCAATTTCCTTGAGCTTTGTGTTAGAAATTTGTTTTTTTTTTGTTTTTCTTTTTAATTTTTCTATTATTGATTGATCTCCGAATGAATGCCCGGGCACTATAAGCACGTCTGGAATCATATAAATGCACATATTATACAGTAAAAACACATTTTTTTACCATCTAATTTTAATAGTACTGTTCATAATCTTTAATTTATTCTTGTATTTGACGTAAATTTTGAAAGGATATCGGCATACCGCATGATCACCATTCCATCCTGAATCATTGATAGAGTACTATTATCGATTTGACATAGCACTGAAGGTCTCCCAGCCGAGGTAGAGTGTAAGCATCTCAAGTTATTAGTCTATCCTTAACGGTTAAAAAAAAATTTGAGCGATTCGATACTATTTTCAAACTCCGACTCATCGACAACTTGTCACCCGATTGATGACTCAAGTTTTCCTTCTCTCACTATACATACACAACTGGAGCATTCTCTCCCACTTCAATCAATGTTCATTTATACCCCATTGAATTGAAATTAATCTGATTGGCTGATGGACATTGCGTGTATGATGAATTTCTGCACTTTGTTTTGATACACGAAATTATAAAAAAGCCTTGTCAGCGAAGCCATGCGCGATCAATTCATCAGGAAAACAATAAAAAAAAAACTAGCGATGATTAGGCATCAATTTTATTGTACACCCGCGCTTTTATATTATAATCACTCATCTGCGTTAACTGTTCCGAATTTAACATAACGTATTGCCACAAATATATCAACGTCTATACTATAACGGAGAGCGGCCGACATAACAGAAAAATCAGTTATATCGATAAATCTACAAAAGTGAAGGCTGCAATTAAATAACCAAATGAGATACCGAATCCTGATTATATGTTATATCAACACGTTATATAATCGGTAGCTTTCGTACGACCTAGACCGCATAAATCGCAGATATGAAACATAATTACTGATGACATTCATCCATTCTTCTGTGTTTATTACTATCCTGAAACGATATATTCGAATCGAATTGCAGTAATGAATTTAGCTTCGATGAAAAGATACCGTCTAAGCATGGCCAAGAATACCAAGAAGCTAGTACTCTATAATGCTATTTTATTTGACAAGAGTCCGAACGCGTGCATGACAACGCAATGTGTCTTCTGTCACGAAATATTAATCTGTAAGATTGTACTGTTAAAAAAATTACTCCTGGAATTTTATAGAAATTGCTTAGAATGTTTAAACACAACACATTCATATGGAATTTCCTGGTTATTATTACTGGTAAGACAGTGAGACTCTGACCTTTGAAGGCATTACAAATTTTAAAAAATCGTCTCTTGAAGTAAATGCAGAGATAGGACGGTATGTATATGGGCCAATGAAAGACAATTTGGTGTACTGTACAGTAGATGCTTGTTGATGGGCTTGTTGATGTTTACATGTAAACTGCAGTTAGCAAAAATTGAAAAAAAAAAAAAAGATATCCTTGTAAACCTAAATCTACCATTATAAAAAATAGCTTCGCGCACATCATATAACTGGAATGCACCTAAATTTGGCCCGATTGAATGTCAACGTTACTGTGGGCGTTGTCCTACGTCTTCCGTAAATACGCATTACTGTTATTCCATCGCTCAACACAGCTCATGAAGAACTAGTGAAACACATGCAGAAAAAAACAATTCTTATTGTTTAAATTGTTTAAACTATAATAAAGTTAGGAGACAGTGGTTGATCCATTGACGTTCTCACTAGATGATCCAGTTGTGTGAAATTTGAATTCTTAATAAGATGGCGACGATCAGGCGGTATGCATGGCAAAATAATAATTAAAAAAACATTTATGCATATGGACATGTAATTCATGAGAAAATGTTCTTTTCAATAACGAAATGGTTTGCTTTTTCTTGCACAAAAACGATCAAATAGATTGATTAAATTGGTATTGAATTTAGTACACGAGGTAAAGTAAATATGATAATGAACAAAATGCACATATATGATCCTCGGTTAAACTCACGTTCCGTACGTAATGTTCCGAGGGGAAATTGTATTGCGAATTGTAACCGAACTGACACTGAAATTCCCTGTATTTGTTTCATTGTTGAAGGAAGTTTCTCCCATTGAGTTATAATCCTTATATCTGTGAGTTTGCCTGATCAAAGTAAGATCGTATATTAGGAGAGTACCATACAGTATGAAAAAAACAAGTTATTCAATGAAGACAAAAGCAATATGGTAAAAAATAAGAAAAAAAAACAATTAATGAAATATCTGATGATATATCTGATCCATAACCCCACCGGATCCAATCCATTATGCAATTTCCACTCGGTCAGGTATGAATCTGTACATTTTTTTGAAAAACATCAAAATGAAGCGATGATCGGTCGTGGCAAATCACTGTAGCGATCCCTCTCTCAGATGCCCGTCGTTGACCATATCTCGTTATTAACAGTTTCTCTACATTATCAATGTTACTAGCATTTCTGCATTGAATTAAAAATCGGTAAATTAACACTTACTTGACAAGAACCATGTCTGAAAGTTCTGTTTTCACTCCTTGCTTCTTAGGGTCATATTCGGCGATCATTGGACGCATGGGGGTGCGCTGAAATGATACAAAAGACGTCCTTCAATAATACAGTTTAGAAATGCAGCAACCCAATCAAGATACGACCATTAAAATGAATAAGTGAAATGCAGGAAGTGAGACTTGACGGATGAATCCAATAGTTTAATCTGCAAATGAGACGAAATTGCTTTGGGGATCGTCAAACGACAGTTATGCAATCAGTTGTGTAAAGTATCACCGGTGACCCACAGCGATGATACTCCGACAAAATTTATCCATATTCCCGCATAGCTTCATTACCCCTGAGTTTTCAATGTTATAAAGTACTTGTATTATCGGTGAATTATATTACGGCTAACTACAGCTTGTCTATTCATTTAAAAGAATGACAACAGCATGACAGAACACTTCTTGCATTACACAAACTGATATTGATGAAAATAAAATATAGAATGTCTTATCAACCTGTCCTCGAGCGTCATCATCCAGACAGCTGAAAGAGAGTGAGCTCATCTCTACGTCAAAGCCAATGGTACTATTACCGAGTTCATCGAAGGAATACATTTTGCAAATTCAAACGAGGAAAAACCAAGGGAGAACGAATTGTAGTATTCCAAGAAAACTCGACCACTTTTAACTCATTATGAGAATTTTATCCGACAAGTTGGATTTTTCCTCATCCCCATTAAACGTCCTAATAGTCATTAATGTAACGAATAGCACTGTTGTCACAGAAGAGAGCGTTGATCACGTCTTTATCACGCGGATAAAATCAACGCGGAACGTTAAGGCCAATCCCGACCCGGATCAATGAGATTTAATTGAGCGCGTAACTTGATGAATCTCAATTACTTCCTACACACAACTCAATGTACTTGACGATATAATGACAGGTTATGGGGAAGTCCACTTCGATATCATTACGGTAACTATCGAGGCATCAGCTATTGTAAGCGCAACAATATATCCACATGTTTCCTTGTGCAGGCAAGTTGCTTGATGTCTAAAGACAAGAAGCGGAATGAGAGACACTAGTTTAAACTAGCTAGTATGATACCTTCGGTCAAATTGTAATCGTGTGTACACTGTGCCGACGCGGGCGTACAAACTCACAACGACACACCATCAAGCTAAACAGTATTATGACCACTATCTCTAGTTTGTCTTTTGAGACGCAGAATGCTAGCTACTGCTTGCCAAAGCGTTTGAGAATGTCCCGAGGACGTGGGGCTCTTAATATATACTATTCTAACTCAGACATAAGTCCGAATAGGAGTTACCGCGCAGCGAAAATACGAAGAGCAAACTACGGATACCACGTGAGTATGGAGATCATTTGTGATAGGTGATCATTGGCCATCATGGACTCATCGTCAATCAGTGTCCATCATCGTTAATCAATCCTTTATCGTTTGTCCTGTCGTTCAAGCTGATCATATTGAATTCAAATACTCAGCGCATTCAAAAAAACATCTACACCAAGAAATATTTATATGAAAGGCTCTCAAAGAATTTTTTGCCGCAAAAACTCTGAATTTTAAACTTCAAAATCTTGAATGATTATCTATTTTTGTGTACGCCGGAGGCGCCACAAAACGAGACAGCCAAAAATTCTCTCTTATCTGTGCCAAAAGAAATGTAGGTAGCTCAACAAAGGAGGATGTTAATCATACCGATACACGTCATAAGTACGTCGTCACCATGTGGTGAATATGTACATATTTTCTTGGTAGTATTTTTAGAATTTGCGGTGCACGAATTCATTAGCACCATCATGATGCAACAATATTTATGTTTGCCTAAAACTGAGCTAATCTTGAATGTTCAGATTATCATCAATCAACAATATTTTTGGACCATACGTGTAATTGTATAATGTACGGATTTTCACGTCCGAGTGACTATTTTCGAGTCTCGCGAAACATCTTGTCATTATGCCAGATTGGAAAAAAAATAGTGAAATAATAGGGATCTATCTATTTCCTATTTATTCTATTTTTTTCATCATCAAGCAACAGTAACTTAGTTGCTAGGCAAATAGATTTTTCTCGTAATGAAGATGTGAACCATCAGTGGAATGATTATTGGGTTTGGGTGTTTGGTGAGGTCATAACGATTACACGATATTACTGGTAAGGATTCAATTGGCGTCGCGAATTTCATTAGGTATTTGTAATAGCGGCATATAGCAATTGCGCTACCGATGACCAACGCTGGAGTCAATCTTAGTGAATTTCGTCCACAATGATTTACTTTAGCAATTAAACTCTAGGCTCAACTGTTAATGAAAAGTTCTTATTGTCAATGAATTATTCATCAAAATCAATATTATAGGACAATAGAGGATTATGATTTATAATCAAAACCTGCGTCCGACATTTACGAGTACTACACGGAGAAAAAAATACCGGATAAATTACGGAACTTTCACGTATTCGTGGGGTTACCTTGCTTTTCGGGGAAAAGTACTGGAGGTACCGTAAAATTGTCCTGAAAGTTTCGTAAAAATTCCTGCTCGCTACGAAAATTTGTACGGAACTTACAGTATTTTTCTCCGAAAACCAAGGTCACCAAGGTCAAGGTCACGAATACGTGAAAGTTCCGTAATTTTTCCGGTATTTTTCTTTCTGTGTAGGAATACTGCCTTCGAATACTGCCAGAGAATTCACTCAAATGCATAGAAATTCGTGCATTTTCAATGATGTTATTACCAGCCGTAACTACTTCATACAGCATAATAAGTCTTGCCTATCACGAATCGCGAGACACGTGTCGTATGATAACAATTTTGACAATTACCAGAGCACACAGACAATTGTTGGATTTGGTTGTTATCACAAGATGAACTATGTCAAATTATCTCGCCAAGATTTTTCAATTAGTCTCATGCAAACCCACATACCATTCCGTAATTGGAAAATCAAAATGATTAGCGATCATAAACAAAAAAATTAATCTGAAATTCAAACTGTCTGCACTTGCGGAAATGAAAACAACGAAAACATGTATGTGCAAATAGATGAGAATGACCGAAGTACAAGAACAACCGCTTGGAAAAAAAAATAAGAAAACCAATCTAAAAAAGATCATGATGAACAAAGTACAGAAGGGTAGCAGCAATTGATACCATTTGAGCATCCAATCTGTCAGCAATGACAGATTAACAAATTTTTCACTTGGTAATGCGTCATCTCTTCATGATGTAGTCAGGAATCAGTGCATAATGACAGTAGCTCCTGGAGCATCTAATGTTAATTTGTTGAATGGAGTCGAGATCATCAAACTCTGTTGACCTTTCAATTTTCTTGTAAGCTAATAAACTCTCATCAGTCCTCAAATCAATCGTTCAAAATGGTCAAAGTTTTTTTCTTCTACTTAAAGTATTCGAATCTGCATATAACATTTATTAACATTATCGATATACTACTGAAAAATGATTAATAAACATTTGGAGTCAGTTCGACTTGAACACTTTTGCATTATGTAAAAAGAAGAGCAAATGAGCCGTGGAACTCCTCAGTCGATTTAACAATAGTATATTTTTGTGTATCCCGATTCGGGCAATGCCACAGCATATGGTGAAAATCTTGGGATGCTGCACTACATGAGCAGCTCAATTCATTGGCAATTGATCCTACCCGGTGTCGAGACGTTGCTAGATGATAACGGTTTGCTCTGAAACGATCGACACTTATCAACAAAAACTTCTTTTGCTAGTCGATATTATTTAACTTAATATTTGGCGCTTTTCCTGTTATTAATATTCAAAGCTTGTGTAAAATATCTCATCTATTTTAGAATAATTTCTGTAATGTGTATAAGAAATGGGGAGCTTGGTCGAAGTTGATGATAACCCGAAGTTGGTGGTAGAATTGCCGCGGAGATTTATAAACCAACTGATGAAGTCAAAGAAGTTCAATAATATTCTGTCAAATCATGTGCAATTACGGTTCTTGGACAATTTGAACTCTCACGCATGGTGAATGGACTTTCAAATGATTTCACTTTAACCTATCCGAATATTCTGTTGATTTGCTGGGTTACTACCGTAACTATTGAATAGCGTTAATGTTAACCTTGTGCGAATCATACGTGAATTCCTTCTCGGCCTCGTAAAAACAAAACGAACGCGACTGTTTCGTCCACGTGGCCGGCTTTTATGCTCGGCCTTCGGTGAGCGTTGATCATTATTGCTCCGGAACGTATGACATCACATTATAATCTTATCAGATAGCTTTTCGAGTTGAGGGTAATAACTACACGTGGTAACGTTTTCTAAAATCTCATCTAAGTCTTTTCATTTCTCACCACATAGTATAACTTATGATTACTCCTTTGTACGTACCATTATAAAAGTCGGCCGACTGCTAATAAGTGAATGAAGTACCGTAAATAAACATATGATAAGATATATTTGAATTCATATTGGTGCGAATAAAAACGACAAATGACTCTTAAGTGAACAGCAACAGACATTAGACGTTCAAATCCATTTTTACTTGATGTTAGGAAAAATTATATCAAAATCGCTTAAGAAATTGAGCCATAATAATTACGGAAAAATTGATGATTGTTGCATCGTTTTTATTTTATGACAATTTGCTCCCAAATCGAAGACCTATTTGGACGATTTTTATTTGATATTTTCATATATAGGCGAAGTCAAAGAACATAGCGGACTTTGCCCTAAGAATTTGAATAAAGAAAATCGATTGATTCGGCGTCTTCACCGACAACTACTTGAGGTTTAGTAATCCTGGATTGGTCACTAAGGATATCCAAGTATATTAAATTCTTCAACTTTTTTTCAAATAAAATTGTAGTTTCACGCAAAATATTGCTATTGCTAGACTTTCTTTTAATTGTTAGGTAGACTTTTTGGGAATTTTTCTAATCTGACATCGTGAATATTTTTTTATTTCATTCTCCACTCGACTTTTGTTGATCTTCAATGCAATTTTTCCCAATTATTTACCCGGAAACTTATGTTTTTCAATGCCCCCCAAAAAAAAACTAAAAAAGCGTTAAATGATGAAAAAGGAAATGCTTTGTAAAGCAAAGTACTGTTGTTTACACTTAAATTATAAAAAGTGGATCTTTTTAAGAATATTTTAGAGCAGTTAATGAAAGTCTACGTTTGACAAAACTTGTGAGACAAAGAGTGAAGAAAAGTGGTCTTTCTCTAATTTGTTAAAAACTCGATAAAACATTGCATGACTCTTCCATAACTCAGTTGCATAACCATACAGCTACCACAAACTTTTCATTGATGTAAATATTTTAGTTTCAAATGTATAATTCAAAATTTACGCGCAACGAGTCGAATCAGATATTTTCCCATTCAAGAATTTTCTATAGTTTTTTTACTATGACATTGGTAGCAGTGTGTTGTAAAATTGAGCATGAACAGCATGAATAAATAACGTGTAGAAGTATTAACTGTGAAATGCGTAGAATTTGATATTTCACGAGAAGAACCAAAACACAAGAAATTGAAGGTTACGGGAATAACCATAAGAAATTGATGAAGTTTCCTTAGAAAACTGAATCAAGGACTTTTGTCGAAAATAAGTAATACATTTTTGCCGAATAATACAGTGCTTTTCTATTCTATTCAGAATAGAATTTTTATTTTTTCACTTTCGGCGTTGATGGATAGCCATACATAAAATAACATACCAATGCCTATGCACTGTAATCACTCTAAGTGAAGGGAGAGAAAAATACCCGAAAAATTATGGAACTTTTACGTATTCGTGGGGTGACCGTCGCTTTCGGGGAAAAATACTGTAAGTTCCGTAAAAATTTTCGTAGCGAGCAGGAATTTTCACGAAACTTTCAGGACAATTTTACGGTACCTCCAGTACTTTTTCCCGAAAAGCAAGGTCACCCCACGAATACGTGAAAGTTCCGTAATTTTTTGGGTATTTCTCTCTCCGTATGGATTCCCCGAAATTCCATTAAACAAGATCTTGAATTAAAATGTATTTTGTTGCAATGAAGAAAACAGCTGAAGTGGGTTTTTTGCAAGTGTGTTGATAAATATAATGAAATCATTAACTCAGATATCACAATTAATTGATGACCTTAAATTATTGTCACTATTTATACCATTAAATTGCTAGATCTCAAATGCGATGGATTATTTGAATTATCTGAAAATTAATTTGCAGCCGTTCACAAACTGATCATCACA